CCTGCTGCTATTGGTCGGTTACATAGAGCCGGTGTGGAACTTTACACAGCCACTCCGCAGACGCTGTGCAATCTGCCACACGTGGAAGATAATATAAAACACGTGTGTCACATGGCATTTTATCGAAAGCAGACAACTTGTACATATTACATTCATACTACCAGGAGCGTCATTATACGCTCCTGGTACTACCCGCACAATACTGCAGGTATACTGCATGTTTATAGAGAAACGTTTTTTGAGAACTAAGTAATTGTTTACGAATCAAAAACCTTCTACATCATTGTTCTACGGTGTTTGAGTTTAAATTTTTGATAAAATATTCTGCATGTATGGTATATATGAGAATAGAGAATAATGGTAACAATATGTGTGCATGCGTGTGTATGAAACATATTCTGTGTGCACAAACTATATATTTGAAAATTATTCTATGTGTCTAGAATATATATATATAATATATACACACACATATATTTTCCTATGTGGGAGGCCGGCGCGTTATACTTGACGTGCCGCGATATGTACATGCGCCTACATCCCGTGCTTGCAGGCGTCGTGGCGATGGATGACTACATCTACGCAGTCGGTGGCTACGACGGCGCGCAGCAGCTGAGCAGCGTGGAATGCTACGACACACTGAAGGACCGCTGGAAACTCGTCGCGCCGATGAATTGTCCGCGCAGTGCTCTCAGTGTCGCTGTCACCGACAACAAGCTCTATGCAATGGGTGAGGAGTCGGCGATGGCGGTTTACTTTCTGAGTTTTGTTGTTTGCAGTGGTCGAGGGCTGGGGGGATTCATTGTGAAAAGCACGATGGCTTTGATAGATTTTACTTTCTGTGTTTTGGTGTTTGCAGTGGGCGAGGGCTGGGGGGATTCATCGTAAAAAAGCACGACGGCCAACATAGATTTTTGCGTTTTGAATTTAGGTATTTGTGGCTGGTAAGGAAAGAGTCATTGCTGAAGCACTGGCGTTAATGGCGTTGATAGATTTCACGTTTGTGATTGTAGATGTTTTCACTGGGTAAGGAGTGATGGCGCAGAGTGTTATCGTGTGCGGTATTCGCTTAACGTCGACATATTGAAACAAGAAGTTATTTGCAGTGTTTGAATATCTTTTGATGCAGAGTGTATCAATATTTGAGGTTTTAAATGTTTGCATTGTGTATGGAGTGCTGGCGCAGAGTGCTATCATGTGCAGTGTTTACATACGTCGACATACTGAAACGAGAAATAGTGATAGATCTTAGATTTTAAATGCTGTTTTGCACAATTATTTTAGAGACTTAGGAAAGGTTATGCGTGATTATTACTGCAGAGAATTTCATGCGTTCTGTTCAATCACTTGATCATATTTGTAGTATAATTTCATCATGTGCATAGTGTAGTACATTTATTCATTATGTGACATAACATTGCATTTTTTCATGCTTCTACATTCTCAGTGTCACTTCATGTTTGACACATTCATATCTTACTAGGTTATTACACGTGTAATATTATAATGACACGTATTGTTTTTTTTGTTTTTCAACGGCAGGTGGCTACGATGGTCAGAATTTCCTCAGTAGTATAGAGGTGTACAATCCCGAGTTGGACACGTGGAAAGACGTCACAAACATGAGCTGTGGTCGCAGCGGTCACGCGTCTGCAGTGTACCTAGGAGTGATCTTCCGCACATGACAGTGTGATCATCTACGCATTAACGCTGGCCAGGCTCCGTGATGCGTGGTCAGCATAACGATGTGTAGAAAAATCCAGTGGCAAGCAAGGGCACTGATCACTGCATTGCACGTAAAGCTGTAAATAGCAGTGGCACAGGTCAATAGCAGACCGCGTATGGTGGCCAGCAGACTACTTGATAGTGCTAGGGTGCATGTAGTGCCAATCAAACTACAGAATAGGGCTGGCATAGGCGTAATGCCTAGCTGGTCACTGTGCGGCACTATTGGGAGGATGAAGAGGGCTTATATAGTGCCCATCAAACTATAGAACAGTGCTGACTTTGCTATAGTGACTTGCAGCTTAGGGTGGGTTCGCTACAATGTTTGAATCACACGCTAAGCTTCTCGATGTCTGATATCTTCCGTGAATTCCCAGCCGCAAGCGATTTGCATTCAGGAGGTTCTATCTTGGTGCTACCGATTGGAAACCAAAGATTTTTCTCGAGGGGGCGAGTTGGAATGTCCTACCGCCACTTTGATTTCTTCTCAGGACTTTGCCTTGCGAAAGATATATGTACGGGGCTATTATACTGTATATTTACATTCGCAGTTGTTATAGGTGAGGTTGTGCAGCTGCTATGTGCATTACTTTGACGTCTCTTTATCTTTGGGGAGAATGGAGAAGTTCTGAAAGCATGCCTAAGCGTACAAGGTGCCCGTGTTGTGCGACCATGACAACGCATACGTGTAAAACGTTCGTTACCGCATGCACGATTGCGAATCGTTTACTCCTGCTCAGTTGATGCTATAGTCTCATCAGACAATACCAGGGATCGATTTAGTCTTCGCTAAATGTGTGTGTGTGTGTGTGTGTGTGTGTGTATGTGCGTGCGTGCGTGCGTGCGTGTGTGTGTGCGTGTAGCCATGTTCAAAAGTTTTATCGAATCGGTGGTAGCGTGCGTGTCTGCAGTGAAGACGTGCCGGAAGAATATTTACTGTTTGTAATTTTGAACCAAATGCTGCTGGAATTCATTATCCTTATTTTCCTAGACGTTCGCGCCTTTTTGTGAGTGAAGCGATACCCGTCCGTGAAGGGTACTACTTACACCGAGACGGCGATGACTCTCAATACAAATTCTACAGGTTATGTCGATCGCTCGAAAAGTGGTTAAGTTTTCAACTATAACAGTTCGAAGCAAACTTTTGTGTTTATCCGATATGGTATGTAAATAGAAGATCACAAGCTGTAGTTCGTTAAATGCACTTCGTAGTTCGTGCGCTTATTGGGAAAATGAAAATACAAATAGAACTATTTCATCTATCTTGAGTGAGCGGAAGAATCCATGTCAAATGTGAAAATAGACCTAGAATGTTTCCAAGCCCTTGTCACAAGCTCGATAGACATGCAGCGAACTGCAGCGTACCAGTCTATGTTTACGTCAGTGGCCGTACTGCTCCCGATGCCCTTGTCACAAGCTCAATATACATGCAGCGAACTGTCGATGTCCCAGGTAACACCTGGCAGGGTTCAAACAAAAGGACATCACCTAACTGCCGATGTGAGGGGGGAGCCAATAGGCGCGTTCACACGGACGTTTTTGGCCCGAGCCTAATTAGGCCCGCGCCAGATTTGGCTCGAGCCGAGCGTTCACACGGACGTTTTTGGCCCGAGCCTAATTAGGCCCGCGCCAGATTTGGCTCGAGCCGAGCGTTCACACGGACGGCACGAGCCAATTTGGTCCCATCGAAAACGTCGGACCAGGCTCGAGCCAAATTTTAGCACCAGCTTTCAGCGAGCAGTAGAGCGGTAGAATCGGTTGAGCGATGGATGCCGCGAGTGTCGAACGTGTACTTGAGTGTAGTTCTGAAGGTAATCACTATAATGGACTTACGGTATGTTCTGATATACTTCTAGTATATGGTAATGTTGTAAAACTGGCATTTTAGGTTTTATCTAACCATTACAAAAATAAATTATTGGGTTTGTTAGGATCTATTATGCAAGTCTCGATTATAACACTTCATTTTAATTGAAAAGTCAATCCATCTTTTTACAGACAAGTCCTTAATTTGGATTTCCTTTACCCATTTTGCAGCTGAACTAAGTTGAAATTGCCTTGATTTTCATGGTAAAAAACTAAAAAATAGAAAGTATAATGATATGAAATTAGTCAATTATGATTTAGTTTATCAGGAAATTCAGGAAGGCATCAGTTTTAAGTTTGTATATGTATTATTTTCTTTCTTTTAATTCTATTAAATTTTTTGCTTTGGGATTCATTCATTTTTAGACGAGCAATTTTGGCAGAAAAGAATTTTAGTTTGACGTATTGTGTGAAGAAGTGCAAGTAAATGTTCTTGTCTGTGCACCGAAATTCACAATGTTTGGCCTGTGTACATAACACGCAGCCACAGTAATTATTTAATTAGTACTCAGTAATGTGTTTAATTAGTGGGTTTTTGGCGATATTTAAGAAATTTGGTGGAAAATAGTTTAACCATTCTTTTTATTGTCTCCTTACAAGAATACGGATTGTATCTGACACCTAAATTTGTGCATGTATTGAGTTTGATATCATCAGGTCTGTGATCGCACTATCGGATGCTAACGGTCATTATGAGATTATTTCGTTTGTATTTATTATTTGTTTAGTAGCCGCATTACGCTGTGTAAAATTGTGTATGATTTGATGTTTTGCTCAAGTAACTTAACTTTAATGATGATAGCTATAAGCGGCTCACGTTCATAAGAACTCAATCAGTGTTGTCGTATGGGGTGAGTTTGTGCGAGAGAACATGCTATGATATCCGCTGTTGAAAGTTTGTGAGTGTCTGTCCAATAGAAACTTTGTTGGGATGAACATAATTAATAAGCCGGCTGATAAGAATCAAACCTGCGCTCGCGGTCACCTTTATAGAACGGTCCCCTGTCTATAATGGGTACGTTTGGCATTTGCATTGAATGGCAGCTGTACTGCAGTGATACTGCCTGTATGGAACGGACGCCTGTATATAAAAGAAACAGCGTCAATATAACGAACGTATGTTTATATGGGACACTTTTGGCACGCCTCTTGAGTTATCGCATGTTGGTGGTCGAAGCCTAGTCAGGGCCAGTATGATTGCTCAAAGATATCAAAATTCAGCGTAGAAATATCAAAGATCTGACCTTCAAATGCGGCAAATTTTGTGTCAATAATTGCGGACTCGATTCCAGCGTTAGATCATGAATTCGTATAGTCCTGCTGGTTCGTGTATGTCGTCGTGCATACGTGAAACCTTATCTAAGCAACCATTGATTATGTAGGCAGTTGCATTTGTATAGGATTTATAGAACATATATATGGTATATAACTATATATAAGGTATGTAGAGAAATATGGATCACGTAATCTAAGCTAGAACTAAAATGTGCTGCAAATGTGCTCGTTGACAGTATTGGTAACGACTTAATTACGCGGAGTTATTAATTAAACTACTCTATACTTTGACATATGTGTATTTATCAAGAAACGCCAAGACAGCACGGTAACAAAGCTTCGTGAGGGCTCGACTGCAGGAATCGTTGTCACAAGTATGGTCTATCGGTATTGATGTATACGATGCCAATGGAATATGACGTAAATTATTTTTGTATTGGTCGTAGTTATTGTTTTCTCCTCCAAAAGCGTAGATTTATTGCGTACCAGCACCCTTGCAAGAAACTAGCTCTAGCAGACTCTGACCAGAGCAGATCTAGACACATCCGGAAATTAAGTTAACGTAGGACTGGAACTAGGAGCATAGGAGGAATAATTTTTGATATCTCTTTGATGCGTTAGCATGGTCATTGGATGTTGATACGATACGATCAGGATAGCAGAATAATTATGCTAAGTGTAAAATTCGCGTGGTTCATCTAGTTGTCACAGCAGATATAAATGCACATTTTCAATCCCCAATGTCGCACCTCATATTGGCTCTATATAATACCAAGAATACAAGGTGTGAACTTATAAGAGAATAGCTGGATTATAACGAAATAACTGTTTCTCGAGAGTTGTTTGGTCAATATATGCGTAAATGGTTATACCTGGTCCATACCTGTAATGTCTCATTCGACAGGCTTGCGGTACACCTAGTAATTTCCAGGTGATGTTTCTAGAACCACAGTGGGGTGTCACCATGCAGTGTATTGCTCTTTTCACGCGCGGAAAGGGCGGGAGATCAGTGTATTTAGTAATTATTTATAGATTCATTAGCTGGTTTGTTTTAACTGATTTATCAATCACTCCGGTCTACTTTGTTTAGCGGGCTTTCTTCTTGTTTTGGATACAGGATATACATAATATATGGACAGTTATGTGAAGATAAATTAGAATATTTCTCGTTATGTATTGTCGAAAGCACTCGGCTGCGTTCAAACTGAAAAAAGGTTCTATTAAAGGCTCATTGACGCAAGTGTAAAAAACTACTACGACCTTATCTTCATAACTCTATACTAGTAAAATAACCACGAAATGGTAATATGGGAAGCATTCGTATGTTTATAATGAACTCTAGCTCCGAATCTCTCCTCGTGCATGTATCCAATGTGTCTACACTTAAATATTTGTTGTATTACTGTGTAAGAAGGAAGTGTAACTAATTAAACTGGTTCTAGATTAGTTTATGAGTAACGACACGGGGATTGGGCACATCAGGTATCCGCATAGTAAAAACAGGTTTGTCTCTTTCACGTATTAGCATAAAACTAGCGTTTGATTACTTGTTATATACGGACAAGCTTCATGTTAGTTAGGGCTATTAGCTCTATTACTTGTCAGTAGTACGGATATTTTACCGTTAATATCCATGCAACAGGGACGCTGATAATGATAGGCAGTCTTCCATCTGAGACGTTGTTGTGATTGTAAATACCACAGTTGTACGGAATTGTGTACACGATTTGCGCGGTGTTAGTATGCGTTCGTAATTGTATGTGGGTTTTCTAATTGAATGCGTATATAATTTAGCTACTCTGTCTTTAGTAGAATTACACGTAGGACCTGTTTAAGCATGAAGACGTACCAAGTAACATGCGAAATAGTTTTCGCATCAATAGAGTAGTTCGTATTGGCTGCCCTAGAGTGACGCACTAGTTGAACCATGAACGTGTGTATCCTCGCTCGTGAGTAACTCGCTGAGTGTGTTTGTGGCTTTACAGACTGGATACAACCATTTTGCTTGCGCGGTTACTTGCTGCGTTAACTCAAATACTCGGAGGTATTTCGTTCAAAAGGTTTTAATTATCAACAAAGTGCATGTGTTCTTTTCACGGATGCACCGCCCAGCTACGAAGCCACTATGTGGTTTAGCGGACAGTGCCTACAAGTATCAAATATCATCCACTGATGAGTTCATATTGAACATTATCTGCTGTATTTATTTTTACTTTAATAAAAGCTTTCATGAATTAGAATGACGCGTTTTTGTTTTTTACTCCTGCAAATGTTTGTGCTTCTAGGTCGTAGTTTAACGCGATTTCGACGAGAGATGGCTAGGCGTGCATGAATGTTCTTCTAATGATGAGAATAGTTAGATGCTCTTGATTGCGGTAATTGGATCAAATTGGTTAAAAGGGTAAAGGGCTCACTAATTTCTCGGAGTGGAGCTATCCATCCCAACATATTTTCTTTAACTCGGGGCGCCACCCCGTTCGTAACGTGTACAGCCGTATATATAGCGGTAGTAGCAAACTATATACTACACACTATCATGTTACGTACGTATTACTATAATACCATATACTATACTATTATGAAGATATCTATACACTGTATAGGTATGTTCTGCTTAGATGTACTACTATATATACTGCTACTATTAGTACTACCAGTATGAATTCGTTGTATGAATTTGTTCGCATGACAAACATTACTGTTTCGCAAACATTTCGCTTCTCGCTCAGAAAATTGCCCCTCCCCCTAGGCGGCAGTCACTCGTATATATATAAGTATGTTTGTATGGGAGTCCGCATATAGACCGCAACTACTGTACGGCTGCCGTCTATTGGCGTGCGGCCTGTGCCTATCCGTCCTCCATCTCCCCCTCTCATCCCTCGTCCCTTCTGCTTTTCCTTGATTTCCTATTCAACCTCTTTCATCGCTCTTCTTGCAAATAGTTGTTGCTACTACGTACGATGGGAGCTTCCATCTTTAATCTTAAGACACTTAAACGAACGCGCCATCGCGTGGCAACTTTCATAACGATCCCAACGAACATTCCTTTGAGAAGGTTCCTGATACCATCCCTGTGCCTTCCACTGTTTCGGCGTGTATGTGAACACATTTGGGACTAACAGGGTTTACTAGAATCCCACCACTCCACCACAGAGTCACCGCAGTAGACGTTAGATGAGCGCTGTCGCTCCGCGGCACTTGTTTTGTAAGATATCATGATCATGTCACAGCATAGCATAGCAAATTTGGGAGGCTTGAGCCGGGGCGCTTTGCAATTGATATATAGAGTCACAGCGATGGACCTTTTTTATATCTACCTACTTGTGAATATGTGCTCTCCATGTTAAATATATGTTTTGAACACAATAACAAGGTTTTGGCAGTCAAGCGGGTGGGGGGCTGAGAACATTGCGGGTATAGGGAAATGGGAAAATGTTCCAAGC